GCTCGTTGTCTGCCTGCAGTCGTCGTGCGTCCTCGCGTACACATCCAATAAGCTTTACATTTCCTTCGTGTAGGCCTTGCACAGACAAGTATACAACACACACCGCAGTGTTCACACCAAGCACATTTCCTGTTACTCACAAGTGGTCTCTGCATTCCCCATCCAAACGTTGCCAATGGAGGTCGTGGCGCCATAACACACCGACCCCTCCCCCTTTGCGACTCTGACCAGATGTGTTCTGACCCGTCCAGTGCCAGTCTGGCTGAATTGGTGGCTCTTCCAGATCTTGCACGTGGGTCTCTGCCACTGCATATAACGAGAACTCTTCCTCTCAGGGCATTATACAGTTCTCCCCACTGTTGTTCCCGGCGGGCACCGTGCATGTTAAGAAAACCCAATCGGAAGCATTGCCACTTCGCCCGGCGCCTATGGCACTTTGATCGACATGGCCGAATGTCCTCTGGACCACAGTGTCTCCCATACTCCCCACTGCGAAAGCTCTCCTGCTCATGTCCTGCTCGGCACGGAAGGAATGTCATTGGGGATGTTGTTGCCTCATGTAGTGCTGGACCATGTCGGCTATCATTCGAGCCAGGTCTAGTCCAATAGGCAGTGCTCCCATCGGTTGGGTTAGGTATCGAGGCGGTATGTTGCCCTTCCAGGGCGGGGGCTGCTGGGGCAGGACAGCTTGTGGTATCACGTCGTTTGATCGCGTCTCCGGGAATAGTAGCCCCACAGGGGACACTTTGGCCCAATGCTCTGTTTTCTGGGGGTCCGTCGGCTCCTGTGGGTGTTTGGTGGTGCCGGGTTGTGGATGCCGGAGAAGCACGGGGTGCTGCGTCTGGGGCCGAGCTGGATGACCTTCGCTCCCCTGTCCGCAAACGTCTAAGGCAGTAGGTGTCAACCCGCCCGGACTCCCGTGGCCAGTGGTACCGGTGTCGTTTTCCTGTTTTCTCTTCGGGCCCTTTTTGTCGCGTCTCCGAGGACCTCCTCGTTTCCCTAAAAAATTATTTGCAATCGTTGCCAATCGGGTCGCCACTTGGGAGGCTGTGTCGGCGACATAGAGGGCGCTGTCCCGGGCCAGCCATCCTTCTTCCAACTGCTTGCTGTTGTCCAAGAACGTCAATTGCTCTCAGTATGGAACACATCTTTCTTAGCTGGGCATTCAATGTAATAGCTCGAGCCAGTGTAACCTTCCCTCGGGTAGTCACCTCTGGAACAGAGCAAATCACCAGCCTCTCCGCGTACAGGGCCACGCTGTCACGTATCACTTGGACGACGTCTTCCGGGCGGGTCCCCCGAATTGCGTCTGTTGCTCCCACCAGCAGCACCACCAGCCGGCGACAACGGCCAGCTTCCCCTTGGGGTTCTCCTATGCACTGGTGTAGCAACTCCTGTGCACATTTCACAGTCGCATGTTGCGTCCAGCATGTCTCCAGATTCTGTTTGGGGCCAAGTTGTCGTTGGAGTGCTCTTGCGACGCGTGGCACGTTCCCATCTCCCACCAGCAAAATCTACGAGTGGGTATTGCGGGAAGCCTTAGCTGACTTCGCATACCCTTTAGAGTGTCGACGCTCCTGCTTCATCGCATCGTCGTTCGGCCTCGGGGGCGCCTCCGGGCCCGTTGCAGATAGATCCATTGTGTTGTCTGGGAGGTTGTCTTCTTGCCTCACACCAACTTGCCGGGTTTCCCCAGGTGAATTTGGTATAGTACCTAGCTCTTGCAGTGATTCACCCGTCGACCTGTCTACAGCCTCCTTCATATTCGTGTGTATTCGAGGCCGTTCGGGTGGTGCTCTGCCTTGCTCCTGTCTGCACGGCTTATTGTGATCGTCGTGTGCTGAGTCGTCAGAGTTGACAGGCGCGCTCTTTCCGTCCAGGGGCTGAATTTCGGGTTGTCCCGATGAGCCTGATGTTGGGGTTATCATCGCCCTGGTTTCGGGTGTTGACGTGGACAGAGTGGTATCTTGTTCCTGCTCAGACCGGTCAGGTACCTCCTGACCTCGGGCGGTTACTTGCTGCCCCAGACCTGCTACAATGGCCTCAAGTGCATGTAGCCTGGTCTGTAAGGCTTCTACTGTCAAGCATGGCTTGCAAGTGAATGGGTTAGCCGCACTTGCCGTGGCGAGGTCAGGGAAGCCAGCCTCGTCGAGGTATAACCATCTGTCACATCTGTCGCACTGTACGACTGGCGCGCCGGTGCGTTGCTGTTGTTTAGCTCGCTTCGTCATTTGGCCCTTCAGCGTTACCTGTTGCTTGTCACTAGCAGTAGCCTGTTGTCTTTCTGGCCTACCTCCTCGGCGTCATGGTATGCTGCACGTCAAAAACGACGTGGCAGCCGATAACACTCCACCAACCGCCTCTCGCACACCACGGGTGTAGACACTGGCTCCACCTCTCGTCCGCAGGCGGTACCACTCCACTACATGCCGATGTTGCTGTCGGTGTTCGAGACCGGCCCATTAGGCCTCGTCCTCCTAGACGCTCGTACAGCGCGACGGTCCGTTGTCACAGCACATAGGCGGTAGCCCGATGGTCCCTGGGACTCGATGAGACACTCCCCCCGCATCCGGAGCGCAGCACTTGCTCACGTACGCCTTAAGCGCACATCATAACTCACGTCAGAGGGAGCGAACCAGTCAATTTCCTGGTACGCTCCCTCTAATTTGTATCGACATTCTTCATGTACAAGTAGCTGAAAACCTTCCTAGCCCAACGCTCCTCCCCCATTTCTCAAAATCGCTTCTCAAATTTTATCTTACTGCTAGCTTCCCTGCCCTCAAATGATGTCCATCCCATATCACCTAGAACTCCCTGATTTAGTATATTCCCGTGAGTTCCTAAAGCAAGCCTACCTATTCCACGTTGCTTAATTTCTAATCTTAGTTGAAAATTCTGATCTCATGCACAAGACCGAATTGCCGAACGTCAGCCCAGGAACCATGACCCCTTTCCATATTCCTCTCACAACATCATATATCATACCTATTGTAATTCCACAGTGCCCTGTTTTTCATTACCGCTGCATTCCTGTTACCTTTAGTCGACACGTATATTTCGTGTTCCTTTAGGTATTCGTTCCCATTGCTTATCCATGTGCCCAGATATTTGTATTTATCTGTTATATATCTCTAGCGTGACTTCCTGTATTCTAAGCTCACTGCCTTCGTTATCATAAAAAATCATGGCTGCTGATTTTTCCGTACTAAATCTGAAATCTAACCTATCTCCCTCGTTAGCGCAGATGTCCATCAATCTCTGTAAATCTTCCTTGTCGTCGGCCATTAGCACTATATCATCTGCGTACATCAATGCTGGTAGTGACTGTTCAATGAGTTTTCCTTGTTTGACGAAAGAGAGGTTGAAGCCCATTCCACTTTTCTCTAATTTGGCCTCTAATCCTTGTAGGTACATCATGAATAACAAGGGTGACAGAGGGCACCCCTGCCTAAGCCCCCGTTTCACCTCTGTGGGCTTAGATACCTGTATTTCCCACTTTATAACTACCTCATTACTTTTATAGATCTCCTTTAAAAATTAGTGACTACATCTTCCACGCCTAGTGTGTCCAGTATTCCCCACAATTCCTCTTGAACCACGCTATCGTACGCTCCCTTGATATCCAAAAATGCTAGCCACAGGGGTCTGTGTTCCTTTTTTGCTACTTCGATGCACTGCGTCAGTGAGAAAAGATTGTCTTCCAACCTCCTGTGTTTCCGAAACCCATTCTGCAGTTACTCCGGCACCCCCTCATCCTCTATCCATGCCTGCAGTCTTTCCTTTATAATCTACAACGCCAGCCTGTAGACCACTGATGTCACTGTTATAGGACGGTACTTGTTTATGTCAGCTTTGTCCCCCTTTCCTTTATAGATCATGCTCATCCTGCTAAGTTTCCATCTATCGGGAACTTCTCCATCGATCATTATTTTGCTCACTGCCTCTTTCAAAGTCTGCTTAGACTTCGGACCCAATGTCTTTATCAGCATATCAGCCAGCCTTGGGACGTTTATTCGTCACATGTGCACGAGTCCGAACGATATGTCTTGTGCTAACACAGCTAGGGGAAGCGTAGTACCCATCGTGGCACGTGGTCGACGCGGCACAATCAGCTGTGAAAAAAAAAAGAAGGGGGGGGGGGAGGGCAGCGCACCGCCTGCTGTGACTCTATTCAGTTTTCCCCGTCGTCCCTATAATACTGAGACACGATCTCTTAATTGCACAGCAGCGCACACAGCAAGAGAACGCGCCCCAATGTCCGCAAGGCGCGGTTCATTCCGTTAATTCAAATGACCTCTTAATTGCACAGCAGCACACACCAAGAGAATGCGTTCCAACTTCTGCAAGGCGCGGTTAATTCCGTAATTAAAACGGCCAGCGTCGCTCATGCACTTGCAAAATGCACCGCGGACGACGCCAAATCCTCACGGAGAAGCCACAACTACAGGGGGAAATTTCTTCGCCAAATTTGGCGGCAGTGTGGCAACACTGACCCTTTAAGTCTGACAACAACCTTTTGGCGTTGCATAAGTCAGTTGCCAGATTTTGGGGTGGTTGTTGCCAGACTGCTGCTAAATTTGGCTAAGCAATTTTTTTTGTAGTTGTGGCTTCTCCGTTAGAGTTTGGTGCCAACCGGTAGCGTCCCCCGTCGTAGCGCGCGGTCGACGCGACACGATCAGCTGAGAAAAAAAAAAGTAAGGGGGGAGGGGGGCAGCGCATCACCTCCTGCGACTCTATTCAGTTTTTCCCGTCATCCCTAATACTGAGACGCGATATCTTATTCGCACAGCTGCGCACACAGCAAGAGAACGCGCCTCGACTTCTGCTAGGCGCGGTTCATTCCGTTAATTAAATTGGCCTCTTAATTGCGTAGCAGCGCTGCGCTCGACTTCTGCTAGGCGCGGTTCATTCCATTAATTAAAACAGCCAGCGTCGCTCGTTTACGAAATGCACCGCGGATGGCACCAAATTCTCACGAAGCCGCCACAAGTACAGAAAAAACTTTTGCAGTCAAATTTAGTGGCAATTTGGCAACACTGACCCTTTCAGTCTAGCAACCACTTATGCAACGCCAAAAGGAACCTTGCCCCGAATCTTTCCTAACATACCCGACCACCTGCCAAAACCAACGGTGCCAAAGTCAGCAAGAAAACAACCCACAGTGAGGACAGTTGTCCCGACCTAAGTTGCTTCCTGCCAAAGTGATGAAGATTTATGTGACGAAATTGATGCATGTGATGGCATGGATGTTGATCAATGTACCGATGTTCGCACGTTAGAAGCAGTGCCCTGGTTTGCTGTCGTGCAGGGCAGCCCAATATTTGATTCCTGGAAGGTGAGTGCCTCTACCTCTATAGTTATTTTTTACAAACTCAAAGAGTCTGGCGGCGCTGTGAACATTCAAAAGGCTGTTGTGATCCGGCAAGACTTGGCGGTTGAAGTTAGTTCGAGAGGTGTACTTGTCCCGCTTTCTTACTGACATGATTTGGCCGCAAATAATACACACACAAAGTAAAGAACACTCAACGACAAGCACAAGCCGCTTGTGCTTGTCATTAAGTGTTCTTTACTTTGTGTGTGTATTATTTGCGGCCAAATCATGTCAGTAAGCAAGTACCAACTAGGCCAACAATCAGTATTGTCCTGCTTTGCAGCTACGTCGGGAAAGATGAAAACATTCAGACCTGGCTAACAAGCCTGAAGAATTTAACAATGCTTCTTCGCTACATTGAAGATCTCAAGATTCGCAGTGTGTAAATGTGAGCTGTTTCCAGGTATTTCATCGTCAACGACAGCCGTCAAAAGGCAGAGAGTATGGCGAAAAAAGGAATGCATGGTGCTCTCAGGTGAACATTTGTGTCTTCCATGCAAAAGAACAAAAAAAATTTTGTTGACAGAGTCAAGCGTTGCCCCCAAAGAAAGCGCAAAACGGAAGCCAGAATGTGAACTTTAATACCTGAAGAAAAAGACCATCAGGGCCACTGTGTTTCGCGAAAGAGCTAAAAGACAAGTGTCTGCATTGAGACACCGTGGAAAGTCTTTCACAAGCACAGCAACTAGCCTTTAGGGCAGCAGTGAAAGCCGCGAAGGCGAAATCGCCATGAGGAAGACGTTATGAACAGGAATGGCTCATGACTTGCTTTCTGTTAAGAATTTCAAGCCCACGTGCTTACAGACTGATGTCAAAGATGAAGCTCATGTCACTACCAACCACTGCAAGGCTGAGACAAATGATGAAAGGAATGCCCTGTGAATTCGGTTCCAACAAGCTGTCTCTTGAGAGTATTGGGGCCTTTATGAATAACCGAACAGGAGTACAGAGCTACGGCACACTGATAATGGACGATATGAAGGTGCGAGAGGTTGTTGCATTTAACAAGAGTACCTACAAGGTTGATGGCTTCGTTGATTATGGAGATGGCCATGACTCAGAAACAACAGCCGACCACGTTTTAGTACTCATGTTTTAACCTTTATTTCACTTCTGGGTGCAACCAATTGCTAGTTTCACTACGAAGCATGCAGCTCCTGGAAGAGTACTAGCAAGGCTTGTTTTAGAAGCTATTTTGCAATTATACAAGCACAATGCAATTGTTGTTGCAGTTATGAGTGATGGTGCCAGCACTAACAAGGCCATCTGGTCTACTTTTGGCATCAAAGGCAAGCTTCATGCATTGAAAGACAAAGTTTACCATCCTTGTGTATCTGATCAGCAGCTCTACTTCCTCTGCGATGTACCTCACATTGTCAAATGCATAAGGTATCATCTAATGCGTCACAAGTATGGCATGGTAAGTAGGTTAGAATGCTTTTGATTGTTTTTCATGTTTGAGAAACTGAATTAAGCTATGACTTCTGCAATAAAACACCCTTCTTAATATCTCTGTTGTTTTTATATATTACGGATCGGTGAACAGAAAACAAATTTCGACCACTATCCAAGACTCCAAGAAATAGATGGCAAACAGCAGCTTCGAGTGGTGCCGAAATTGACAAAAAAGCACGTGAGCCCCGACAATCTGCAAAAAATAAACGTGACCTTGGCTGTGCAGGTAAATGAAAATGTCATATTTACCATACATGCCTTTGATTGTTTATGACTTTGCTTAGATGCATATATGTTTGTTCTAAAAATAAAGCAGGATTTTTTTCCTATATGTTCTCAGCTTTTCAGCTGAAGCACTGCCGTCGAGATAAAGGTATACCAGCGGTTAGACGAGCCTGACTTGAAAGACTGCCACGGCACCATTCAGTTCACCTTCATGGTGAACGACCTTTTCGATGCCTTGAATAAGAAGCTTCCCCAGTTTGGAATAACAAGTTCGTCAACAGGAATTGAGGTATTGAAGATACTGTGCATGTTACAGATGGCATAGATAATACTTCATAGCATCTGTTGCAGTGTTATGAAATTGATTTGCCCTGTGGCTTATTTAGTAGGTCATCCAGGAGTTACTTGATGCTGTAAATGTGACTGAGGAAAACCATATCGCCATCGGAACAGTAATGTTTGCATCGCAAGTTACAATGGAGTCGCTTCGAGTTACGCTTGCATCGGTACGGAACCTCATGACAGATCTTCTGTCTAAAGGGGCGCATTATGGGCTCACGGGCAAATTAAACCAGCACCCTTTAGAGGTAAGCTGCTCATTGTTCTTGTTTATTATGTTAATATTTGTGAAATTTTTAACTAAAAGAAAGCATCTCTTTATTTTTATTTCTAGAGGTTTTTTGGTGTGACAAGAAGTTATGGAGGTCACGAAGACCACCCTACCTCAATCAGCTTTTCACACATATATAGGCTTCTGAGCCTGTATACACCAATCAGCACTTGTGTCACTGTGAACGTGAGCAATGAGCAGACTTTTGTGCTAGCCACTATCGCTGGCAGCATGAAAAGAGGAAAAAAGTACACACTGTCATCCTGTGAAGGACTCCAAGAGGTTGTTGGAGGGAAGTTAGCGGAGATATGTTCTACTGCACAGAATGAAACACTGACAGCACCTGATCATGGTTACTCTACACTAGCAGCACAGGACTGCGTTATTTACTACTTGTGCGGCTACCTTGTGCACTCTTACCTCAAGCGTGGGAGGTGTTCCGACTGTATACGTAGTATCCGGTCTGGAAATGCCGAGTGCCCAGAGGCATTTCCCACTTTGGAGAGGTGAATTTAATCTCGGCAGCCTCAAATTGCCATCATGGGAGCTCTTCTGTATGTTTCGAGACATCGAAGCCAATATTTCAGATGAGCTGGCGAACAACCAGCTCTGTGCAGACACCTTCTGGAGCCTCCTCGACGCCTTTGGTGAGTGTAACATTACTAGCGTCGGCTGACCTGCTTACAAGAACACCCCTACTGCAGAGCTTCTGCACTCCTACATAGTGCAAAGAATGCATTTTGCCCCCAGAGATACTTGCAAAAGCCTCACCTCTTCAGAAAAAGTTGCATCTGCTAGAAAAAAACGTGAAGTTGATGTGAAGGCTTGCACTGTAGTACTGTCACCTCAACCCTTGTAAATATGTCCCCACAAGTGTAGCTGTTGCATTCACTTTCATGAGATCCAATATAAATTACTAAGCATTTTTCTTGATTCCTTGCTTCTTTCTTGATTTTCAAGGCTTTGCAGCAGATTTGGGCCATGTAATGCGTGTTGTGGTAAAGTTAGAATATAATTGGGCATTATGAGATCCTGGGACGATTTTTACGCGCATTGGCAAAGAACAAGCGCTGGTTATAACGGGATGCAGAATAAAGGAAAGTAAGGGCGCTGTGCAGTCCTTGCTTCTCTCTCTATTTTGTGCGTGTGTGCTGTTTTTTTGTTGTTGTTGTAACGATGAGATACAATGAAAAAGCACTTTTCGCTAAAGCCAGATTAAATGCGAGCAAAGTTACGCTTGTGCTTCCAAACGATGCGGTTGACTCCTGCCAGTGCCTTTCTAGCAATAGCAGACGACGCAGCGAGACCGATCTCAATTAGAGTTACTGTATATGCTACCTTTAGGTAGGAAGCATATAAAGTAACTCTCATCTCAACGGTACCGCAGCGCCACCGTCTGGTCGGCGATGGCAGTACGCCGCTCCACACCATCGGAAAGCCGCGCGCTTTGCCAACCCGCGCATCTTACCATCTGGCGTCAGCTGTGCCAGCGCCTCCTCTAGTTTTTCTGTGCCTGTTGCGTCGCACGTGTTCCCGTTGCTCTACTATTGGCGCTCTATTTCTCCGAGTGACCGTGTGGTAGCATCAGTTTATTACCCTCTCGTATGGAGGAAGGAAAAATATAGGAGAGGCCCTGTCACGGAGGAAGGAAAAGTAGAAGTGACCCTGATGTCACTCGTTGTGAAGCCGCTATGAAGTCAGAAGTCGGCCATATTCACTGGGAAAATTTTCCTCTCTTGTTTACATCCGAATGTAAAGCAGAAGGCACAACTCTCTCTCCGGCTCGGAAAGCACGTGAGCTGCGAAGCGCGCATGTCGTGCCGATCCGAAGCTAATAGAATGGGGCTCAACACTCTGGGCCAGCGCGACACCTTCAGCAAAATCATTTCGTGCAGCGAGTAACACCTCACGGACAACGAAGCAAGCACAAAAGAACGCGCGCTAGATGCACTGACAACGGCGAGTGTTTTCACGTCATTGATTCAGCAACTGTACAGACAACATGATTGGTCGTGCGCCTTATATGGTTTAATTCCGCCATGTGGCCAACGCAGCGTCCGGCCACTGTGTCCGTGTTCCGCGTGAAACTCACCAGCGTCAGCATTTTGCGACCGTTGTGACTTTGAGCACGGTGAAAGTGACACTTGAACGCAGTTGCTGTTACGTTGCGATTACATGCAAGTTGTTACTGTACACACACAACCCAAAACTACGTATGTGCGCATGGTCCTCATAGCGTCTTGCTGGGCTCAATAGTGTCATCCATTGTCACAAGTAGGAACACTGCCCAACCATCGATGACCTGCAAGGCGTTCGTCGTCGTTCCGTTTCGTCATGGTACCCAACGCGATTTCGCTGAACACTAATTGCTTCATCCGCGTCATCCGCCACACGACATATGGATATGCACTCATTCTACGCAATTTCGAAACCCCCTGATGGACAAGGGGAATTGCAAACGCTGTTAAGAGTACAGTAAATGCCAGGAGAACACTGCGTAACCAATAACACGGCACAGAGCACGGATATTGTCCGCCACGGCTCAGCACGAGACCTGGGGAGGCACACATGCTGCCACCAGCCGCGGCCGCTCACTGCTAGACCAGCTACACTGCGCAACACGTAACCATAGCAACGCCGCCATTGTGCACAGTGAATATGGCCGCCATTATGTCATTTCCTCCACACTTTCACCGGCTGAGCATGCCCTCTCCTATCTTTCCTTCCTCTGTGGGCCCTGATGCCACTCGTTGTGAAGCCGTGATTTCGGCCATATTGCCTGAGCAAATTCTCCTCTCTTGTTTACATTTCCTTCCTCCATGGGCTGCGCAGGTGGGCTGCGCAGGGCGCGTGTCGTGTCGATCCGAAACCAATGTAACGGGGCTCAATCCTCTGGTCCAGCGCGACACCTTTGGCGAAATCATTTCGTCCGAGTATTAACAGCGAGTAACAGCTCGCCGAGAATGAAGCAAGTACAATTGAACGCGCACTAGATGCACTGGCAACGGCGAGTGTTTTCACATCATTATTTAAGCAACTGTACAGACAACACGATCGGTCGTGCGCCTTCTACGGTTGCATTTAACCACACGGCTGAAGCGGTGCGAGGCCACTGTGCCCGTATTCCACGTGAAACTCACTGGCGTCAGCATTCTGCGACCGCGGTGACTTTCAGCACGGCGCAAGTGGCACTTGAACGCGATTGCTCTAGCTGAGATTACAATGCTGAGTGCGAGTATACCAAGTGGAACAAAAAATGTGTTTCAATGCGCACATGCAAGTTGATACTGTACACATACTGAACACGAAACTACGTATGTGCACATGGTCCTCATTGCGTCTTGCTGGGCACAACAGTTTCGTCCGTTGTCACAAGCAGGAGCACTGAACCGCACTCAGTGCTCCTGCTTCAGTGCAAGCAAGCAGGTCAACGCCTTGCAGGTCAGTGCAAGCAGTCACTGACCTGCAGGGCGTTTGTCGTCATTCCGCTTCGTCATGGGGCCCAACGCAATTTCGCTGAACACTTCGAATGCTTCATTCGCGTCATCCGCCGCCCGACACATGGACATGCGCTCATTATATGCACTGTTTTATGCACCCCATAGTAGATGATAGGTTTTATAAACGTTGCTATATAGGAGTGTACGTGGACGTTAGGCAGGGTTGGAGGGAGACGAGGAGGAAGAAGAGGTTAGAAAAAAAGAAGATGGCTGCCACCCCAGCCTAGTACTGTGTATTATTACAAATTGGCGCAGCCGGGTATACTTTCTGTGCGGACATTCAAGATGTGGCTGGACTTCACCATTGGAGCAAATCAACGCGGTGGCATACGGATCGTGACCGTGATGCCTCAATATGAAAAGGAACTAGCACTTTCGGAAGCAGTGAGCACTGACGCATTTGTTTCCTATATAAGCACTAAAATGAAGCTCACTCCAGACCATTTACTTGCTAATAGAACGGTGAGGATCAACATGAAACTTCAGGATTATGAGAATTTCGTGCTGACTCCAGTAAGAAACAACGCGAAGCCTGCTACCGCTGCTTCACCTGACAGCTCCGTTGAGATGATCAACAAGTTTCTTGAACTGCGCCAAGAACAGAATAGGCAGCAAAGTGATTTAATGCGCTTGCTTGTAAACGTGACGGAAAGATTAAGCAGACTGAGTCGCGAACGCGTGAAGCCAGACATGTTTGACGGAGAGTCTAGTAGTCCCGAGTCCTGGCTCACGTTTTAGTATGCATGCAATGAAAACTACTGCCACAGCGATGAAGATAAAGTGAAAAACATGCAACTATTTTTATCGGGCATAGCAAAGTGTTGGTACGAATGGCGTCTCAACGCTCACAGCAACAAACCATGGATAGAGTGTAAAGAAAGCTTTCTGAGCTCGTTCAGCGAGAACAAGGTGTTGCTATGGGACAAAGCAATCACGTTCAAATACAGGTCTGGATCTGCAATGAGCTATTTTTATGAGAAAAGGCGCTTGCTACAGCTGGTCGACTGATCTTTGCCTGAGACGTCTGTGGTTCCGCTTATCATTCATGGTTTAAGTCCGGACCTTCAGAAGCAAATACAGATGAGAGGACTCAAGACGGTCGAAGAACTTCTGCAGGGAATACGAAACCTCTACCTCCAGGACCTAGGAACCCAGCGTCAACCCATGACACCTGCTGC